TCAGCACAGTATCTCAGTATGTATGTACACGTATTCCAGCACATATGTATGTTTATTAGCCTTTATATATATACATATATATATATATATATATATATATATATATATATATATATAATTATATATATATATATATATATATATATATATATAATATATATATATATATATATTATATATATATATATATATATATATATATATATTACATATATACATTAACAAGTCGGCCGTCTCCCACCGAGGCAGGGTGACCAAAAAAGAAAGAAAATCCCCAAAAAGAAAATACTTTCATCGTTATTCAACACTTTCACTTCACTCACACATAATCACTGTATTTTGCAGAGGTAACCAGAATACAACAACTCAGAAACATATACGTAAAAAGATACACAACATATCCCTCCAAACTGCCAATATCTCGAACCCCTCCTTTAGAGTGCAGGCATTGTACTTCCCATTTCCAGGACTCAAGTCCGACTATACAAAAATAGCCCATTTCCCTGAATCCCTTCACTAAATATTACCCTGCTCATACTCCATCTGCTCGTCAGGTCCCAAATACCATTCGTCTCCATTCACTCCTATCTAACACGCTCACGCACGCATGCTGGAAGTCCAAGCCCCTCGCCCACAAAACCTCCTTTAACCCCTCCCTCAAACCTTTTCCCCTACAGATTTATACGCTCTCCATGTCATTCTACTTTGATCCATTCTCTCTAAATGACCAAACCACCTCAACAACCCCTCTTCAGCCCTATTACTAATATTTTTATTAACTCCACACCTCTTAATTTCCACACTCCTAATTTTCTGCATAATATTTACACCACATTGCCCTTAGACAGGACATCTACACTGCCTCCAACCGCCTCCTTGCTGCAGCATTTACAACCCAAGCTTCACACCCATGTAAGAGTGTTGGTTCCACTATACGTTCATACATTCCCTTCTTTGCGTCCATAGATAACGTTTTTTGTCTCCACATATGCCTCAATGCACCACTCACCTTTTTCCCTTCATCAGTTCTATGATTAACCTCATCCTTCAAAAACTCATCTGCTGACACGTCAACTCGCAAATATCTGAAAACACTCACTTCTTCCATACTCCTCCTTTCCAATTTGATATCCAATTTTTCTTTATATAAATCATTTGATACCCTCATCACCTTACTCTTTTCTATGTTCACTTTCAACTTCCTACCTTTACAAATTCTCCCAAACTCGTCCACTAACCTTTGCAATTTTTCTTTAGAATCTCCCATAAGCACAGTATCATCAGCAAAATGTAATTGTGTCAATTCCAATTTTGTATGTGATTCCCCATAATTTAATCCCGCCCCTCTCCTGAACACCCTAGCATTTACTTTTTTTACAACCCCATCTATAAATATATTAAACAACCATGGTGACATTACACATCCCTGTCTAAGACTTACTTTTACCGGGAAGTAGTCTCCCTCTCTTCTACACACCCTAACCTGAGCCTCATTATCCTCATAAAAACTCTTTACAGCATTTAGTAACTTACAACCTATTACATATACTTGCAACATCTGCCACATTGCTCCCCTATCCACTCTATCATATGACTTTTCTAAATCCATAAATGCAATGAAAACTTCCCTACCTTTATCTAAATACTGTTCACATATATGCTACAATGTAAACACTTGATCTACACATCCCCTACCCACTCTAAAACCTCCTTGCTCATCCGCAATCCTACATTCTGTCTTACCTCTAATTCTTTCAATTATAACCCTACCGTACACTTTTCCTGGTATACTCAGTAAACTTATTCCTCTATATTTTTTACAGTCTCTTTTGACCCCCTTCCCTTTATATAAAGGAACTATACATGCTTTCCGCCAATCCCTAGGTACCTTCCCCGTCAGTTCCAGCTGCTTTACCCCCTTTCATTCTACGTAATGCCTCAGGCACCTCCCCCACACTCACATCCTGTTCTTCTTCACTCCTAAAAGATGATATACCTCCCTGTCCAGTGCATGAAATTACTGCCTCCCTTTCTTCGTCGACATTTAAAAGTTCCTCAAAATATTCTCGCCATCTACCTAATACCTCCCTCTCCCCATCTACTAACTCCCCTACTCTGTTTTTATCTGCCAAATCCATTCGTTCTCTAGGCTTTCTTAACTTGTTTAACTCACTCCAAATTTTTTTCTTATATTCAGTAAAATTTTTTGACAGTGCCTCTCCCACTCTATCATCTGCTCTCCTTTTGCACTCTCTCACCACTCCTCTCTACACCTTTCTTTTACTCTCCGTATACTCTGCTCTTCTTATAACACTTCTGCTTTGTAAAAACTTCTCATAAGCTAACTTTTTCTCTTTTTTCACACCCTTTACTTCATCATTCTACCAATCACTCCTCTTTCCTCCTGCTCCCACCCTCCTATAACCACAAACTTCTGCCCCACATTCTAATACTGCATTTTAAAACTATTCCAACCCTCTTCAACCCCACCCCCCACTTCTCCTACTTGCACCAGCCCACCTTTCTGCCAATAGTTGCTTATATCTCACCCGAACTTCCTCCTCCCTTAGTTTATACACTTTCACCTCTCTCTTACTTGTTATTGCTAATTTTCTCTTTTTCATTACTTGCTATGTCATACCTTGTATATTTATTTATCCTCTTTTTCATAAAATATGCATTACTTATTACCAAACCTCTTTCTACATATAGCTCATTCAAAGGCTTCCCATTTTCATTTACCCCTGGCACCCCAAGTTTACCTACTACTCCCTCCACAACATTTTTACCCACTTTAGCATTGAAATCCTCAACCACAGTTACTCTCACACTTGGTTGAAAACTCCAAACGCATTCAGTCAACATTTCATATATAATATATATATTTAAACATATAAGAGGAAATTTTAGAAAGGACTTAATTTTAAATGAATTCTTGCTAATTGACCAGTTTTTACATATTCGGCACGACACACACACACACACACACACACACACACACACACACACACACACACACACACACACACACACACACACACACACACACACACACACACACATATATATATATATATATATATATTATATATATATATATATATATATATATATATAATATATAATTGTAACCACGAACGAGTGGTATTGATCAATAACAACACTGCGCTAGCCAAGGATTCGAACCCATGTTGGACTGGCCTGCCTCATGGTAAGCGAGTGTTGTTATTGATCAATACCACTCGTTCGTGGTTACAATAATTAATATATAAATACTGCTCGTGAGGCTAGTACACCAAACAGGGATGAGAATGAAATTAGATAAGAAGCTCCCACACCTCCGTATGCCGTCGTTTGGAGACCCAACAGCTAGCTGTGTGCTGGCTGCGCCATTCTTGTAGGGTTGGGTGGTCCTGTGGTTTAAAGCGTCATGTGGTTCTCGCTTACCATGAGGCAGGCCAGTACAACATGGGTTCGAATCCTTGGCTAGCGCAGTGTTGCTATATATATATATATATATATATATATATATATATATATGAGAAGAAACGTATACGTACACTCTAGCACATATATGTAAGGGAGCTAGAGCATATATGTATGTATACCAGCAAGCATATGTGCTCTCATTAACATTTATTTATTTACACGTGAGCAGCACATATGTGTGGGCAAACTGGCACATATTAATAAGCGAATCAGTATATATACATACACAAGCACACACACACGTACGCTTGCCAGCAAATACATATTCTCCCATCTTGGAGGGTACGACACTTCGCCACAGGGTATTAAGTAACCATGTAAACCTATCTGCCCTTTGGAATGAGCGAACAGAATATGATGCAGTATGAGAGGTAATTACAAGTGTATGTTACACAAGGGCGCCAGTGAAAGGAAGGGGCCAGAGCATTATTACCTTGTGTGGCTTCAACACTCTCCTTCGTATACGCTGAGGGAACTTAAAAGAGCTGAGGAGGGTGAGAAATAACGACTCCGTCACCTGAGGCAGGTATGGAGTCCGGAGGAAAGAGAGCAGCAAGGGCTCTTTCAGGTGAGTCATGAGGGAGGGAGGCAACAACTCCGTCAACTGAAGTAGATAGGGATAGTTGAATAAGGAGAGAAGCAACATTCTGGTTAGCTAAGGGATGTAGGGCGACCTGATTCAGGAAAGAAACAACGGCCTTGTCAGCTGAGGAAGGTAGGACGAGCTGAGAAGGGAAAGAAGCGCAGACATAGTCAGCTGAGAATGGAAAGGCAGCAACTCCGTTACCAGTCAGAACATTGTTTATCCTGGTCAAAAGGTGAGAAACATTAAGACGTGTTTCCTTAAGACACCTGCTGTCTATGTTCATCTATCAGTAAAATAGGTGTTAATCGACTAGTGTGGGTCGCATCCTGGGAAAAAATCGACGTAATTTGTCCGAAATGCTTTGAAAAAAGGGGCTTTCTATATAGAGATATGTCATTGAATTCAGCTATACCTGTATACCTTGTACATGTACTTTAGAAATAAAGATTATTATTATTAATTATTATTATTATTATTATTATTATTATTATTATTATTATTATTATACGTCCTGAACCAATGTCCCAGAAAAGGATTACAGAAGAAGTCTTCATTCTTCTGATTATTAAACATGGAGGGTAACCCAGGGAAGTTAAGCAGTGAGACATATTTATGTTGTTGTTGTCTTCTGATCTCTTCATGATGATGCGACTTGCAACACCCTGGCACCTATTTATTACTAGGTAAAACAAAGGAAAATAGTTTAAAAGAGACCAATATATACCTCTCGTCTTGTCATCTTACAAGATATACATTAAAACTGCCGTTTATAGCATTCACATAACTGAAGGTTATATTATGCAAGAGCATTTGACAAACCTCGCCAAAACAAAACAAGTTGTTGGTCAGTAGGAGGTGTGTGGGGGGCTTCACTAGGCGTACCAACACTGACGACGTTTGTCTTGAATAATTAAGTTAAAGAAGCAACCTGTCTACTGGTGGCATGCCTGTACACACACTCGCAGAATGTCTCTGTACTAGTCCAGTTGCTACCCATACACTCGCTCACCACTCCCTGCTTCATTACAAAGTAAGTTCTTATAACTGAATCACTTATTATGTATCCACGATGGGATACCTGTAAGAGGTTGTCTAATTTATTTCTTTTATTCTTCCTTGAACTTCTCGATTTTATTTCGCTCATACAGTTGGCATAAAATTCTACAAATTTGTGTGAAATAACGAGGATCAAATTCTTAGAAAATGACCAAAGTTGTTGAACTCATTCTCAGCATCCTGAAAAACTCATAAAACTTCGAAAACGTCCAGAAAAGGTTAAGGAAATCGAAGACAATAGAGAGTGAAATTCAAATGTGTAGCTGTAGATCTGACCATTTTATGGCTTCAGTATTTAATGTCTGATGGATCTTAAGACCACGATAATACCTATTAAGCTCCGCTAGCATGCTACGAAATTTCTAGATATAATAAAATAGTAAAAAAAAACTGAATCGTTTAAATCTCTCCCATAACTGGAGAATGAGTCGTCTGATTATCTACAGATTTTCACTAGTGATGTGCTGTATGAAAACCCAGGTTCACGTTGCACTCGCTGGCATAAGTCTGAATTTCCCAGGTTTATTGAATAAATAGTGATATTTATTTATTCAATAATTAAAGAATGCTTCTTCTGAATGACTTCAGAATAATATTGACGAAACATTCATCAAGAAAGATGTTACCTTATAAGTTTAGTCCAAGCAAGTGAAAATTTTAGATGACTCGTTTAAGATTCAACTAGAGAATGCCTCTTCCGATCAGCTTCAAACCATAATAAATACTGGTGTGTCTTAATAGGATGTATGTTTATATTATTTTGGGGGCTCATTTTATCAAATTGGACTTTTTTTTAATAAAGAGAAGTAAATATTTTCCTTACAGAATTGTAATGAACTTTATATAGAATGTAAATGATAATTGTAAACTAGAAATAAAAAATGTACGATATTGTGATATTTTAAGTTTAGAGAGAGGAGACTTTCCTATCTTTCGGAACATTCTCAGCAACATTTTCGTTTGTTTTCTCACAATTTTTCATGTATTATTCGAGAATGCCTCATTCGATCGGCTTTAAATTTTCAACGCTGGTATAATAATTTTTGGACAAGATTCATGGGACCATTTGCGTACATGGCGCCCCAACACAGTGTTACTTAAACAATTCTCAGATTTTTGTTACCGTGTGATAGGAAACAAAATCTGATTGGCTTCAAAACACAGGTGAAACCTACTCAGCAAAACACTGGTGTAACCTACTCAGCAAAACACTGGTGTAACCTACTCAGCAAAACACAGGTGTATCCTACTCAGCAAAACACTAGTGTAACCTACTCAGCAGAACACAGGTGTATCCTACTCAGCAAAACACAGGTGTAACCTACTCAGCAAAACACAGGTGTATCCTACTCAGCAAAACACTAGTGTAACCTACTCAGCAGAACACAGGTGTATCCTACTCAGCAAAAAACAGGTGTATCCTACTCAGCAAAACACTAGTGTAACCTACTCAGCAAAACACAGGTGTATCCTACTCAGCAAAACACTAGTGTAACCTACTCAGCAAAACACAGGTGTAACCTACTCAGCAAAACACAGGTGTATCCTACTCAGCAAAATACTGGTGTAACCTACTCAGCAAAACACAGGTGTATCCTACTCAGCAAAACACAGGTGTATCCTACTCAGCAAAATACAGGTGTAACCTACTCAGCAAAACACTAGTGTAACCTACTCAGCAAAATACAGGTGTAACCTACTCAGCTAAACACTGGTGTAACCTACTCAGCAAAACACTAGTGTAACCTACTCAGCTAAACACAGGTGTAACCTACTCAGCAAAATACAGGTGTATCCTACTCAGCAAAACACTAGTGTAACCTACTCAGCAAAACACAGGTGTATCCTACTCAGTAAAACACAGGTGTATCCTACTCAGCAAAACACTAGTGTAACCTACTCAGCAAAACACAGGTGTATCCTACTCAGCAAAACACTAGTGTAACTTACTCAGCAAAACACAGGTGTATCCTACTCAGCAAAACACAGGTGTATCCTACTCAGCAAAACACTAGTGTAACCTACTCAGCAAAACACAGGTGTATCCTACTCAGCAAAACACTAGTGTAACTTACTCAGCAAAACACAGGTGTATCCTACTCAGCAAAACACAGGTGTATCCTACTCAGCAAAACACTAGTGTAACCTACTCAGCAAAACACAGGTGTATCCTACTCAGCAAAACACTAGTGTAACTTACTCAGCAAAACACAGGTGTATCCTACTCAGAAAAACACAGGTGTATCCTACTCAGCAAAACACAGGTGTATCCTACTCAGCAAAACACTAGTGTAACCTACTCAGCAAAATACAGGTGTAACCTACTCAGCAAAACACTAGTGGAACCTACTCAGCAAAATACAGGTGTAACCTACTCAGCTAAACACTGGTGTAACCTACTCAGCAAAACACTAGTGTAACTTACTCAGCAAAACACAGGTGTATCCTACTCAGCAAAACACAGGTGTATCCTACTCAGCAAAACACTAGTGTAACCTACTCAGCAAAACACAGGTGTATCCTACTCAGCAAAACACTAGTGTAACCTACTCAGCAAAACACAGGTGTATCCTACTCAGCAAAACACTGGTGTAACCTACTCAGCAGAACACAGGTGTAACCTACTCAGCAGAACACAGGTGTATCCTACTCAGCAAAACACAGGTGTAACCTACTCAGCAAAATACAGGTGTAACCTAGTCAGCTAAACACAGGTGTATCCTACTCAGCAAAACACTGGTGTAACCTACTCAGCGAAACACTGGTGTAAACTACTCAGCAAAACACTGGTGTAACCTACTCAGCAGAACACAGGTGTAACCTACTCAGCAAAACACAGGTGTAACCTACTCAGCAGAACACAGGTGTATCCTACACAGCAAAACACTGGTGTAACCTACTCAGCAAAACACAGGTGTAACCTACTCAGCAAAACACAGGTGTATCCTACTCAGCAGAACACAGGTGTATCCTACTCAGCAGAACACAGGTGTAACCTACTCAGCAGAATATTCCCATATTTAATGGAGTGTGTAGATGACATTTTGACACTTTTAGTCTCGAAATGGTTTGGTATTATTTTACCTTGTATTATTTTGCTGTGCTCCTGGTGAGGGGATCTTGGTTTGAATTTGAATGCCTCCCGTTCCATAGGCGTTATATAACTTCTACAGGTTTAGCGGTTTCCTCTGATTAGAATATAATAAGTGTGAACAACATCAGTCTTCAGTGGCTGATTGGTTAAGGCTGTGGGCACATTTTTTTTTTTTTTTTGGACTCTGTGCAATGACTGGAAAATGCATATACTTACTAGTCAGCTTAAACTATTAGTGCCGATGTGTTTTCCTCAAAGGAAACAATTTCTTGATGTTAGGTTGTGTAAGCGATCATGTGCCAGTTTTATTAAACTGGTTTCTGTAAAACAATTGGAGAATGTCTCGTCTGATCACAGATTGGTTAAAAAGTTTGACGTTATTTAGTTATCCTGGGTTAATTCAACTTAATGTTTTTCTAGGTGCTTATAATATTAATGTGACCTCAAGACAATTGTTAAAAAATTTTACATAAAATTTACTGTATTGTACTTACTCTCTTTAAAGGTGGTCAGTCTTACCTGAAGTAAAGTTTGGATTGATTTTAGTCAGCGTAGGTCCCAATTTGCCTTTTTTGGGAAACCTGAAAAATATATATACAACTTTTCATACGACAATTTCTGAGTGTCGTGCGTGATCATGTTGCACCTTGCAAGATGATCACTTGATAACGCAACTTCTCAGCGACTCCAGGCATAATATGTTTGTTTAATTTTATTATGCTGGTTTTATTTGTGTCTTTGAAAGGTATGAATTAGATCTGGGCTGTGTAATATGCTAATTAACCATTTTCATTGAAGTAACTGGGATATTAGTGTCCTTATGATGACTTGTGAATGCCTCTTCTGATTCCCTTCAAATCTTCAACGCAAATATTTAACTGCATCAACAACTGAGGCCGCAATCTACACATTCCAATCACGTACATTGAGGCACACGGGTCTGAGGTTATGGAATACGGGGATATCTTTGTCGGATCGCGCATCCACCGAAATATATTTAGTTTTCAGTGTGTTTTTTTAATAGGCATTAATATGGAGTATGAATACATAGTGTAAAAAAATAATATATTGCTTTCATTCAGAAATGGCCAACCTAAGACGCATGATCTGAAAGTGGCGCATTGCATGAATAGAAGTGACGCATTGCATCCCATTGCAAGCCTACTTATACAAAAATTATTAACCAATAACTGATTTGTAAAAAAAAAATATTATAAGAGAAATTCAAGTAAGTTAAGTGGTCCTCTGTTAAAATATCACAGCATTATACACTAAGAGTCACTGTGTGGAAAAATGTTCAAATTTGCGGCGTGTTATGCTACCACTTGTGAAATGCCTGAGTAAAATTAGAGCAAGAGGATTAAACAAAAGTGAATTCAGAGAATATCGTGAATTGTTAGATTTGGATTATAGTGATCTCATCCTTCATTGTGAGGTGCGACTCTGGCTTCTCAGTAGATTTTGGAAACTGAAAAATAATGTTCATAATTTTCTAGAAGAATGAACTGCCTGAGGAAAGAGCATTTTATGTGATAATAAATGGTCTGATTTAACATTTTTAGTTGATGTTAGCAGCCATTTCAATGATCTAAATTTAAAACTGCAGTGCAAGAACAAATTGTTTCTTAGCTTAGTAAATGATATCAGTACATTCAAGATGAAGTTAACGCCGGGTCACCAGCTGGAGAAGACCCGGGCCGGAAGTACCGGCAAACATCTAAGAAGAAGAAGATGAAGTTAAAACTGTTTACCTCTCATTTACAAAATGAGAATATGAGTCAGTTAACACATTTTAAAGGACAGAGTGAATGTGCTGAAGATAATGACAATATTACAGAATATATTGAAAAATTTATATTTTCGTAAGAGTCATTTGAAAG